GCAGATAAATTTCTAGAAAAGATACAAACTACTGAAACTAACTCAAGAAGAAAGAGTCTGAATGACCTAGAACAAGTAAAGAGAATGAATATGAACAAAAAATTACCCACAAAGAATATCTCAGATCCAGATGATTTCACTGATGAATTCTACCAAATTTAAAGAAAAGTTAATACAATTCTTCACAAACTTTTCCAAAAAAATGAAAGAAGAAAAAACCCTTCCCAACTCATTCTATAAGTCCAGGATTATTCTGTACCAAAACCAGATAAAGACATCACAAGAAAACAAAACAACAGGCCAATATCCCCCATTAATATAGATGTAAAATTTCTCAATAGATTATGAGCAAACTGAATCCCGCAACATATAAAACAGGTAACACACCAGAACCAAGTGGGATTTATCCCAGTAATGTAAAGTTAATTTAACATTTGAAGATCATTTAGTGTATTATATTAATAAATGAATACTCATAAGTAATTTAATTCTGTGGCTGTAGGACTAAGGGCCTTGGTTTCTTACTGATTGTCAACTGGAGGCTGCCCTCAGGTCCTAGCGGCTACCTTCATCTCCTTGTCACACTATGACTGTTTAATTCTTCAAAGTGAGAATGGAAGACAATTGGCTGGCAAAATGGGACTCTTGTTATAATCATGGAAGCGACATCCCATCAACTCTGCCATATTCTATTGGTTAGAAGCAATTCAAAGATCCTATAGACAGTGTGTGTGTGGGGGGATTATAAAAGGGCATGAATTACAGAAAGTGGAGATCATTGGGGGTTACCTTAGAGTGTGTTTGCTGTAGAAGGGAACTTCTCAACCTGACAAAGGGCATCTATGAGAAACCTACAGCTAACATTATAATGGTGACAGAAGGAATGCTTTCCCCCAAAGATCTGGAACAAGGCAAATATGTCTGCTCTCACCATTTCTAGTCAACAGTGTACTACGTTCTAAACAAAACAAAACAAAACCCACTGCCATCAAGTGGATTCCGATTCGTAGTGACCCCATTGGGTTTCTGAGGCAGTAAATCTTTACGGAAGTAGATTGCCCAGTCTTCCTTACGTGGAGTGGCTGGTGGTCTTGAACCACCAACCTTCTGGTTAGCAGGCAAATGCCTTAGGCACTGTGCCACTAGAGCACCTTACTGGGTTCTAGCTAGTATGATTAGGCAAAAACCAAACCAAACCACCAACAACAACAACTAAAACACTCCAAGATAGCTACATTGGAAAGGAAGAAATAAAGTTGTCTTTATTTGCAGAGGACATAATCCTGTATGCTGAAAGTCCCAAGGAATCCACATACGCAAAACTAATTACTGGAATGAATAAACTAGTTCATTCAAGTAATAAGATACAAGATTGTGACACACTTCTGAGGCAGCCTGTATAGTCTCCACCTTCTGGTTGGTGTTCATACTCTCCACTTGAAGATTTTAATCAGTGGAATATGACAAGGATGATGGGGGTATCTTTCCTCTGATTATGTTACATGATATTGTTAACGCCATCTTGGAAAGAGATTTTCTTCTTTATTGGCTTTGATGAAGCAAGTGGGCATGTTGAGAAGAACACGCAAAAGAACTAAAGGCTGCTTCTAGGAGCTGAGGGCAGCCTCAGGGGACCAATTAGAAAGAGACTGAAGCCTTTAGTCTTAACAACCACAAGAAACTGAACTCTGCCAACAACTATGTAAGCTTGGAAGCAGATCCTTCCTCAGGTAATGCTTGAGATGAAATGCCCAGACTCCTGACCCACAACATCTGCACAATAAGAAATAAATGTGTGTTGTTTTAAGCCATTAAATTTATGGTAATATTGTTGTGATAGTTGGAGCTGTGTGTCAACTTGGCTGGACCACAATTCTGTGTGGTTTAAGCAGTTGTGATGTGGTTATTCCCATGATGGGATCAGATGTATATGTTTTGAGCAGCCAATCCATTGAAAGGGAGTTTCCCTAGGGGTGTGGCCTGCTTCCAGTATATTTATGGACATCCTGAGAAAAGCGACACTCTTCTGTGGATCAGGATTCTGTTGTGCTGCCTACAACCGTCCATGAGCGAACAATCCACCATTCAGCCTGGAGATCTTGGATTCGTCATTCGTTGGAGTCAACAACCAGTATACTGCCTGCCAACCTTGAGTCCTCAGCCCCCGCGGCTGCGAGAGTCGGGAAAAGCCTCCAGCTTGATGTTTGATCCAAGAACTTTGGACTTGCCAGCTTCTATCAGTGTGTGAGCCATTTTCCTAAGATAAATTTCTCATTCTCCCTCTATATCAGCTTTACTGGTTTCGTTTCTCTAGAGAACCCAGCCTAACACAATTGTTATGCAGCAATAGCAAACTAATACAAATTTCGGTTCCTGAAAGCAAGGTGCTGCTGTAACAATGTGAAAGTGGCTTTGGAAACAGGCAGGGAACAGGGGATAGAAGAATTTTGAGAAGCATGATAGAGAAAGCCTAAAATGCTATGAACAGACTTAGTAGAAACTTGAGTTTCAAGTATGCTGCCAATGGGAGCTCAGGGAAAAAAAAAAAAAAAGGGGGAACATGTTGTTGGAAACTGGAGAAAGGGGGAATCTTTGTAGTGGCAGAAACTTAGCTAAATTGTCTCCTGCAGTGTAGGTGATAAAAAGTTATAAGCAATGAACCTGCTGATACAGCTAGGGAGATTTCTGAGCAAAAATTGAAAGTACTGCCTGGTTTCTTCTTGCTGCTTATAGTAAAATGTGAATGGAGAGAGTTAAATTGATAGAAGAATCATTAAACAAAAAGGAAACAGAACTTGATGATTTTGAAAATGATCAGCCTCTCCAGATGGCAGAACTCACAAAAACTAAGAGATGGCTTTGCAGCATTGACAGTAAGCATGGCTTGGATAGAGAGAGAAAAAAATGAGACTATAACTGTACAACCTTTAGTTAAAACCTCAGAAAGATCAGAGAACTGGCATCTAGTTGGTTCTGACTCATAGTGACCCTCTGGGTTTCCAAGGCTAAATCTTCACAGAAGCAGACTCATTTTTCTTCAGCAGTAAGGTTGGTAGGTTCAAACCACCCACCTTCTGGTTAACAGCTAAATGCCTTAATTACTACACCAATAAATGCAGCCACACAAAAGTCCCTTTAGAGATACTAAGAGTATGCCCATAGAACCTCTTAGTCAAACCACAAGAAGTTTATAGATGTCTTCCTTCAGCCATCTCAGCAAGAGCACAAGGTAGAAAAGGGCTTATCTTGAAAACTGTGAGTGTGACTTTTGTCTAAATTAGTGAACCCCTACTGCAGTAGTTCCTCACGCCTGGGTTACTGTTGGTGGGCTGGTCCTTGGCCAGACTCTGCCTCAGATTGCAGAACAAGCCTGAAGGCAACCGTTGAGAAGTAAACAAAGCAAGTGTTCCTCTTGGCTGTCAGGTCTGGCCCCTCACTAGCATACCTAAAACAGGACATAGGAAGCCACTTTCTAAGTCAACCAGATCAGACAGCCATCCACCCAAGCATCCATAAATGTTCAAACTCCACAGTAAGTAAATGTATGCAAATTTTACAATTTCTTTTGTAGAACACATTGTGAATGACCATAGAGAAAATTTAATGAGAAAATGTTGGGTCAGATGTTATTGCTGGGCTGTATCCATGTCCCTATGTATATAATACAGCAAAGGAACTCTGGTGGCATAGTGCCTAAGGCATCTGACTGCTAACCAGAGGTTGGTGGTTCAAACCCTTCAGCCACTCCATGGAAGGAATACTGGGCAATCTACTTCCATAAAGATTTACTGCCTTGGAAACACAAAGGGGGTTGCTATGAGTTGGCATCGACTTGCTGGCAATGAGTTTGGTTTGCTTTTTTGGTATGTACATATATACTTCTAGTAATAGCTGTGTATATTGTGTACACTCCTGGCCAGAGCTTAAGCCATGCTCTAAAGGTCTTATCTCACTTCCTCCATGTGTCCTCTGGTAACTGCCAACCAGTTCTGCTTCCTGAGTGTGTCACTCAAACAAATCTGCTGAAATTTTCTTCTTAATTTGGATATTTTGATGCAAAAATCAACAATATTCAGAACAGCAAAACACAGTCATCATTACTATTTTGTATTTATTGGGAGTCTTTTCTTATAAACGTAATATTTTTCCAACAAAGTTACCATCTCAGTTTTAATAATATACTTTTCCCAACTTAAGATGTTTGGTTACATTTTTCCAGGTTGGTAATCATCCTTTTGAGGGCATTGGTAGTTCAGTGGTAGAATTCTTGCCTTCCAAGTGGAACAATGGTTTGGATTCACTGGCCAGTGCCCCTAACCATCTTCTACCCTGCCACCTGTCAGTGGAGACTTGCATGTTACTAAGATGCTGAACAAGCCCTGAATCTGTAGTCAACCTGTCAAGCATTTGAAACTCAGGCTCTGAGGCTGAGAGACCTGCCCAGGGTCAAAATCCCCCTTAAGGTTTGTGTTGTCTGGACTATCCCTGGCTACTTACTGGCTGAGTCAGTGTGGCAAAGGGATATGGGCCAAGGTAACATTTTTTTTTTTTTTTTTTCTGTCTGAGTTTTTTCATCTTCTCCAGGATCCAACGCCAACTGTACTTTTCTGGACATTTATGGAGTGCTGTGCTGCCTGGATATGCCTTTTGGCTTCACATCTCTGCCCTTTCTAGTTAAGCTTAGCTTCTATTTGTCAAACAAACAAACAAAAAACAGGAGTTCTGGTGACATAGTGCCACCAGAAGATATGTGACTACTAACCAGAAGGCTCGCAGTTCAAACCCACCAGCCACTCCTCGGAAGGAAGATGGGGCAATCTACTTCTGTAGCAATACTGCCTCAGAAACCCAAGGAGGTTCACTATGAGTTGGAGTTTCTATTTGTCAAAAGTCCCTCCCATAGTTCCTGTCACGGGACACCTAAGAATCGGCTGTGCAGACCTGTTCAACCGATCTCCATGTGCCTGGGGAGTGTTGGCCCAACAGTAACAGCCCACAGGATGGTGTGGACTCTTCTCCTCATGCACATGTTCCTGAGCTTGCTAGAAGAGACCCGAGCTCGTGAGTGGGGATCCTGGGAAGCTATGTGTTGGAGAGGACTAACCAGAGAAGCCTGGAGGGGCAGGGGAAGAAAGTCTCCAAACAGGAATTTAGCAGCTTAAGGGCAATTTTCTAGTCTTGATGGTAGCTGTCTGTGGGCTCTGCTTATCAGGCGGCAGCCTCTGGCAAAAAAGAGAGCATAAGGTGCAGACAAGGAAGCTGGCGGATGTCTTGTGAATGCATCCAGAAGTCTTGATTTCTGCAGCCTGTTCTGCTCACAGTAGAGGCTTTTGGTCTTTAAGAGCCACTTAGGGAAAGGGAGGTTTCTGGGTGGTGCAAATGTGTTGTGCTTCACTACTAACCTAAAGGTTGGGAGTATGAGCCCACCTTGTGGCCCAGCAGAAGAAAGCCCTGGTGATGTGCTTTCCTAAAGTTTACAGTAGGAGCTCTGGTAGCATAGTGCCTAAGGCACTTGACTGCTAACCAGAAGGCTGGCGGTTCAAACCCACCAGCCACTCCTTGGAAGGAAAGTTGGGCAATCTATTTCTGGAGTGATACTGCCTCGGAACCGAAGGAGGGGTCACTATGAGTTGGGTCTGACTCAATGGCACATAACAATGACAACAACAAAGGTTACAGTCAAGCAAATTGTGGAGCAGTTCTATGCTGTAACATAAGGGATCGCCATGAGTGCAGTAATAATTGCCCTTGGCAAATATGCTGCAAGAGACCTCTTTAAAGTGTTAAAAAGCAAAGATGTCACTTTGAAGGCTAAGGCACTCCTGACCCAGGCCTTGATATTTTCAACCACCTCTTATGTGTGTGAAAGCTGGACAATGAATAAGGAAGACTGAAGAATTGTTGCATTTGAATTGTGTTTGCAAAGAATATTGAATGCACCACAGACTGCCAGAAGAATGAACAAATGTTTCTTAGAGGAAGTATAGCCAGATATTCCTTGGAAGTGTGAATGCTGACTTCATCTCTCATACTTTGGTCATGGTGTCAGAAGGCACCAATCGCTGGAGAAGGATATCAGCGAAAAAGGGGGAGACCCTCAATGAAGTGAATTGACACAATGTCTGCAACGATGGGCTCAAGCATGACAATGACTGTGAGGATGGTGCAGGACTGGGCAATGTTTTGTTCTATTGTACATGGGGTCACTATGAGTTGGAATTGACTCAACAGCACCAACAACAATCTTTACAGAAGCAGGTTGCCAGTCCTTTCTTCTGAGGTCCCACTTGTTGTTGTGTGCCATCGAGTTGGCCCCGATTCATAGTGACCCCTCCTTGGGTTTCCAAGGTGGTATCTCTATAGGAGTAGATTGCCCAATCTTCCTTCTCAAGAGAGTTCCCTATTAAGAGGTTGTTGTTGTTATGTGCTGTCGAGTCCTGACTTGGGTATCACTACAGAAGTAGATTGGCCCAGCCTTCCTTCTGAGGAGTGGCTGGTGGGTTTGAACCACCAGCCTTCTGGTTAGCAGTCCAGTGTCTTAGGCACTATGTGTTCAAATCACCTATCTATTACTTACCAGCCACGTGCAAACCATTCACTTTGCCCAGGGACCAGAGTTATATCCTTATTTGTGGAAGGTACTGTTACAGGCACTGAGAATACAGTTATCAACAAGAAAGAAAACTTGCTGTTTTCATGGAATTTGCTGGCAGGTCAACATTAAAGAACCAATCATATATGCTTATTAGCCATGGAGGCACATAAGTCTGGGTTAGATTCCTATGAGGCAAAGCAACTCTGAGGAAATAACATTTCAGCAGAGACTTGAAGGGAATAAGGCCAAATATTGTGGCCGATAGATGGGGTAAGAGCATTCCAGATGAGGGGACAGTAAAGCAACAAAAGTTTTGGAGTGGAAAGAACACATCTGAGAGCAGAATAAAAGCCAGTATGGCTAGGACAAAGAGATCTGCAGGCTGTCCCTTCTATCTGGGTACTCCCTCCCCTCTTCCTGTACCACCTTCTACTCACTCATCTCATGGAATCACTGGTGGGATTTTTGAAGGCCTAGAATTATGGGCTATTAGAACTGAGAGTGTCCTGGGCCTTCTTGCCCTGTGGCTTTGTTCTATAGTTAAAGAAGCTAATGCCTACAGAGGGAAATGGCTTCCCCAGGAAACAGGGTGGTGGTTGGGATGGGACTCTGAGGCCAGTGAGTTTTCCAGTGACACCAAAGGTGATCTGGGGTAAGGGGACACCAGGAGGGAGAGGGGGAGATTGATCAGGGATTGAGATGCTAAAATGTGAGAGCAGGAGACCTGGGGGAGAGTTCTACTTCCAGGCTACACCTCAGTGGAAGCCATGAGAATACTCTTAAACTCCTACACTACTCCAGATGTACCACTTTTTCAAGCCCTGTTCAAGAACATCTCCTTTATGGAACCCCTTCTTATTGATGCCTTGTACCATCATTTCTTTTCTGTTTCTCTGAATTCTTTCTTTGCATAGTGTGGGTGACATTCAAATTCACTTGTGCTCATGGGTTGTTCTCCAACTGTCTGCCCATTGCTTTATGAGGTGTGCCTCTTCTCTCCTATTTTACACACACACACACACATGCACATGCACAAGTACACACACACACAGACATACAGTCATTTCCTTCACGTTAGGAATTGTGTCCTCATTCAATAAATGCTGTTAGCTTACTCTGAGTCCCCTGTCTCTGACTCCTACCTCAGGATCACACTCTCTGCAATATTTCTACACGGCTGTGTCTGAGCCAGGCCCAGGAGTGCCTGCCTTTACCGCCTTTGGCTTTGTGGATGACCAGCCCTTCATCTACTATGACAGTGTGGAGATGAAGGCAAAGCCTTTTGCTCCCTGGTTGAGGGAGGATTCAGATTACTTTGAAGATGAGACTAATATCTTCAAAAGTCGGATGAAGATTTTCCACTTAAATCTAAGAAATGTGCAGCGATATTACAACCAAACCTCAGAGCACAGCCTGAACAAAGAGAACCAACAAAAATCATCAGGTAGGTGCTGGTGAGAGAGCGGTGAGAAGCAGTACTCACCACCACACCCCAACTTCCTTGTGCAGGAGGCCCACTCAACAAGTATTTCCTGTAGGTTCAGACTGGGGACAGGGAGTATTTGTACATCTATCACTTGAGAATAAAGTCTCCACTAATGTGGTCACAAAGGGGAGCGTGTCTGTTTGACCTGAATTCATTCAACACTCGGGAGTCTTATTAGGTCACAGATAAATGTCTAAGATATATCATTCTGGTGCTGGAGGTGGGGAACCAGTGTTTGCCCTAAAGGAACTTACAATCTATATGGGGAAGTTCATTGACCTTATGACCCTGTGGAGCATACTAAGAGACATCAAAGATCATTACCTTCTTAAATGCAAAATGAGAAGCAAAGAAGATAGTTTACAGACGTTTGTAGACAAGAGACCTCAGTTGTCAGGGAGAGTGTCATCATGAATGAGGTGGGACTTGATAGAACATGATGGATGTGTATGATTTGGGGCAATGAGGAGAAAAAAAGGAAGGATGTCCCAAGGAGGAAGGTGTCAGGGTGTGTCAAGGTATGGAGTCTGGTTGGGCACAGTGAGTTCAGGGGTACATAGTAGGTTAATAGTTTTTATCCAATGTCTCTCAAGTGTTAGGCACTGTTGGAACAAATTTGTTAAGGGCCTTGAGTGCCAATTTAAGGCATATAGACTAGTGAGAATTATGATTAAAACTGAAGCAGGTGACCATTCAGCTCTGTACCACTTGCTCCTTACTGAAGCATGTATTCAACAGAGGTTTGCCAGATCATTATGTTACAGGTACCATGATAGACACTGAAGCTATTGAGACAAGTGACACACACAACACTATCACTCCCCAACCACCACCACCTTTCAGAGGGCTCACAGTATAAGAGGAGAGAGACAACACACAATAAAGTTTGGTACAGTGTATAAGTGTTGGATTAAGAACTTGAGCCAATAGACTGTGGGAGTCCAGAGGAAGGAGGGCAATCCCAGAGGTATTTAGATTTGACTTTGAAATTCATTAGAGAAAATTTCAGCAGAAGTGTGGTTCTTGTTAATGGAAAGCAATCCTCAAGGAAAACTCTGCTTAGCACTGCATGCCCTCTTTATTCATGTTGTGCATTAGGATTCTGTTCCCAGGTACTTACACTTAGAATCTGAGGCTGTTAGCATGAAAAGAGATTTCTGGAGACATAGTCTAACCCTTCTATTGACATAAGATAAACAAAGAATATGGAAGCTGAATAACTTGCCCAAGATGACACAGTTCATGGCAAAGCCCAAGTCTGTAATTCCCCATTCACTGCTTTAGAAGAAGCCCTGGAAATAAGCACAGAGCACTCCCCACTGCAGAGCTGACAGCAAGAAAGGGATACCAGAATCAGGGGACTCAGCTAATTTGTCTAGAGTACAAATGTCACCTCAGAAGAAGCCAGGGCTTTGATGGGGTGGGGTGGATGGAGGAGGGACAACTGATGGAGAAACTCTGCAGATACTCCCTGTCTGTACTGACCTGGTGCTGGGCAGGATTGGCAGGCTCTCACACCCTCCAGTTCACCTATGGCTGTGAGCTCCAGGATGATGGCAGGACCACGGGGCACTGGCAGTATGGCTACGATGGTGACGACTACCTGAGCTTGGACATGGACCCTCTGCAGTACACAGCTGTCTCATTTCTTGCCCGCTACACCAAACAGAAGTGGGAGGCCAATAGGAATGCCATAGAGAGAGACAAAACCTATTTGGAGAATGAATGCATCCAGTGGCTGCAGAGATACTTGGAGTGTGGACGGGAGAGCCTGACTCGCACTGGTAATGACCTACCACACCCTGCTTTCTCAGCCATCCTCCAGACCATAGCTTTGGCCTTTTCTCTTTCCAGAGGTGGGGGTGCCACTCTCCCACAGCTAATCCAGCACCGGGATGCAGTGTATCTACTGTAGGATGGGTGGGACCAACATGCTGAGGATGGCTTCTCTACAAGGAAGAGATGTAGATTTGGGGCATATCCCATTTTGAGTCTCCTAGGCAATTCTATGCCCTCCCAGAAGGGAAACTACTCTCAGAAGGCCTCTGGGTTTGTTCCTCAGCACTTAGAGGTTTTTCATACTTCTGGCCCTGTCCCTAGGTCCCTGTGTGGTTCAAAAGTTAATGTGCTCAACTACTAACAGTAGTTGGCTATTTGAACCCACTCAGAGGAACTATGGAAGAAAGATCTGTCCATCTGCTTCCATAAAGGTCACAGCCTAGAAAATCCTGTGAAGCAGCTCAAGTTTGTAACACATGAGGTCGCCATGAGTCAGAATCAACTCTATGGCAATGGCTTTGGGTTTTGGTTGGCCCTTTCCCACTAAAGATAGGTCAGCTGTGAGTACCTATTAACATTTATCTAGAAAAACTAACAAGCATTTGATAAGAGGACAGAAGTCTGTGAAGAGGCCCTTACTCTGGAGGACAATATTGGACTTAGCTCCAAGGGCCTTTTCTAGAATCCCTGCTCTGATTAGTACTGGTTTTCACTACACCTTGTGTGGAGGTGCTTCCTGCCTTGTTTTGCTGGCAGCCATCTCCCTAACCAAACCACTAAGAGTTCATGATGTCCTGGTCTTCGGAGTAAATGCTACTTAACAAGCCCTTGCCTAAACTCTCACTAGGAGCTCTGGTAGCATAGTGTCTAAGGCACGTGACTGCTCACCAGAAGGCTGGCGGTTCAAACCCACCAGCCACTCCTTGGAAGGAAGGTTGGGCAATCCTACTTCCATAGTGATACTGCCTCGGAAACCCAAAGAGGGGTTGCTATGAGTCGGGGCCGACTCGACGGCAAACAACAACAACAAACTCTCACTGCTTTGTCTACTACAGAGCCTCCCATTACCCTTGTGACCCACCACCCCAGCCCTGATGGGAAGGTCACTCTGAGATGTTGGGCCCTGGGCTTCTACCCAGCGGAGATCACCTTGACCTGGCAGCAGGATGGGAAGGACCAGACTCAGGACATGGAGTCTGTGGAGACCAGGCCTATGGGGGACGGGTCCTTCCAGAAGTGGGTGGCCATTGTGGTGCCCTCTGGAGAGGAGCAGAGATACATGTGCCATGTGCAACATGAAGGGCTGCTGGAGCCCCTCACTCTGAAATATGGTAAGGAGAGGGATGAGGGTGGAACCTCTTCTTAGGGAAAGTAGGAGCCCTCTGGCACCTCCAACAGGGTCAGGACTCACTCCTGCAGATCAGGGTCACTCACTTTTCCTTCTCTTCTCAGAGCTACCTTCTCAGCCCACTATCCCCATCAAGAAGCTATTTCTTATCCTAATTCTTCTTGGAGCTGTGGTCCCTGTAGTTGTGATCATGGGAGCTACGGTTGCTGGATTTGTGCTTCAGAGGAACAAAAACTCAGGTAGAGAAACAGATTCTCGGTTTCCTTATTCTAACCTCAAGCTGTCTCATCCCAAGGAGCTGAGTTGTAACTTCTGCCCTTGTTACTTCTGGAGCCAATTTGGAGACTCCTATTGTCCAATGCCTAGGGTATTTGACTGTTAACCAGAAGGTTGGCAATTCAAATCCACCAGCTGCTCATGGAAGGAAGATGAAGCAATCTACTGCCATAAAGATTTACCATCTTGGAAACCCAGTGGGAGTCTCTATGAGTCAGAATTGACTCAGTGGCAGTGGGTTTTCATTTTTATTGTCCAGCAAGACCTGGGAGGGACCCCCTGAACCACTCTTAGCTACAGATGAGGTGGGAGGCTAGAGACCTGCTGGACTCTTGGTGACTGCAACACCTCAGGACAGGGTCATCCTTGCGACTCTGAACTCCAGGCTCTTGCTCTAAGGTCAGATGCCCATGTTCCTTGGAGGATTTGGGAGCAGGGCCACATGAGATCCAGAAAGTGTCAGAGTGCCTGGGAAGTGGGTCTCTTTAAAAAATTCCCAGGGCATTCTTCCTCAGATTCCTAAATTTTTGCGATAGATTAAATGGGAGGAAACCAGATCCCCAAACTGAGTTGAGAAATCTGAAATGAGTGTGTAATGTGCATTTGTGTCTGTCTTTTTGTACATGTGCATATAAGACATGTATGGGTGCTTGTATGTGTATGTGTGTGAGTTTGCATATATGTGTGTGTGTAAGTGTGTATAGGTGTTTGTGCATGTGTGTACATATGTATATAAACATGTATGGCTTTTTTTGTGTGTGAATCTGTGTGTTTGCGTGTGCCTGTTTGTGTTGCTCTGTGACGTCCTTATCCTTGGCTCCACTCTGGCCTTTTACTAGTTGTTCCTTTCTCCCTACATGATTGTCAGGGACAGAACAGTCCTCCATCTGCAGAGTGAACAGCCAGGATGATGAATGTTAGGGATAAATTGGTCCTCAACACATTTGTACTAAAGAAAGAGGTCCTCTCCCTTTTCAAGATTCCCCCTTAATTAAAGTTTCAGACACTGTGCTTGTTGCTGAATTAAATCACTTAAACCCCACAAGAGCCCTGTTAGACTAGGACAACAATCAATCCTATTCCACAGACAAGACAACTGAGGCCACAGAAAGGTTAAATGACTCTCAGTTGGCTGAGACCTGACCCTAAGGAAATAGTCTAATTGCTGAACCCATGATAACTGCACCTCCTGTGCAACTGCCTCCTTAAAGGTCACCTCGTCCTTTGGCCTCTGACCAAACACCAAAAAAACAAATAGCTGTCGAGTCAGATCTGACTCATAGCAACTCCTCCTTGGATTTCCAAGGCGGTATCACTTTAGAAGTAGATTGCCCAACCTTCCTTCCGAGGAGTGGCTGCTGGGTTTGAACCACCAGCCTTCTGGTTTGCAGTCCAATGCCTTAAGCACTATGTTACCAGAGCTTCTTGGCCTCTGACCAGCTTCTCTTTTTTCCAGGCACTAAGACTGGCCGGGATTCTGTTACATTTCTAACAGTCTTTGAATGTAAGTTTATGGGGTTTGAAGTGACAGTGGGTTGGTTGTACATTGGCTGGTGGTGTGTTTGCTTGGGAAAGTGGGGAAAGGGAGAGTCACATCTGGGCTGTAAGGAATCAGTGGTGTTTGCATTTGGGGTGTGAAGGGACCATCCAGAAGGCTGGAGGGGAAAAGCCCACAGCGGCTGTGCAGAGCTTATTCATCACTGTGGTATTTCACAGTTTGAGAGCTCAGCAATGCATAGGCCAGTTCAGAGTCACAAGGATGATCCTGTCCTGAGGTGTTACAGTCACCAGGAGTCCAGCACGTCTCCAGCCTCCCACCTTATCTGTAGCTAAGAGTGGTTCAGGGGGTCCCTCCCAGGTCTTGCTAGACAATAAAAATGAAAACCCACTGCCATTGAGTCAATTCTGACTCATAGAGACTCCTACTGGGTTTCCAAGATGGTAAATCTTTAGGTAGAGGCCAATGAACTGCCTCCAACCACACACTGGTTACCTGAATTTCATTCCATCCTGGCTGCTGTCCCCTACCTGAAGGAGTCTTTCTGGAGGATGTAAGAAGAAAGAAACTAAGAAAGAAGGAGAACTTGACATTTATGAAGGTAAAAAGTGGGATGCCTCTCTTCAAGAAAGGGAATGGCTGCTGTGGTGGTTGTTTTTGTGTCAACTTGGCTGGGCCTGGTTGAGTGGCTGGGCAGCTGGTGATAGTTATTCCCCATGATGAGACTGGCAATCATCTCCAGGGTGGGGTCTACCACAAGCAGCTGAGTAGCTGCCTTTGGGATGTGGTCTGCTTCCTGTATATATGGAGAAGTTTTGGGAACGGACTCTAGCCTATGGCACGCTTGGACCCTGCAGGTAGCTGTGTTGTTCAGCATCCTGCTATGCTCTACCGACCTTGGGACTTACAATGGACTTAAGTTAATGGCCTGCCATGTGGTTTGGTAACATCAGGACTGTGCCTTTTTACTTGTCAACCTTGGGGCTTCTCAGCCTCAGCAGCCAGCAGCTGTCTGAGTGAAGAAAAGCCCCTAGCTTCTGTGAGCCAAGAGCTGGAGGCAGAGCTGAAGCCCAAGGCTGAGGGGCTTTCACCCATAGCCTAGCACTTTGAACTTGGACTTAAAGCCTCCAAATTATAAGAATAAACTCCTGTTTGTTAAGGCCATTCCATTTGTGGTATATTTCTTGTCAGAGTGGCACTAGGTAACCAGAACAGCTGCCAAAGGGAAGAGGAATGCCAGTAAGTTTAAATGGCCTCATGTGGCAGTTATAATATAATCATCCCCCAATGTGATTTGATGTGATCATCCCTGATCTGATGTAAGGGGATTAGGGTGGGATGCATACCTTTAATTAGGTCATAGTTCTAATCCAATGTAAGGGGAGTTTCCTTCAGGTGTGGTCTGCATCACCTTTTATCTTACAAGAGATAAAAGGAGAAAGAAGCAAGCAGGGGAAGAGAGACCTACTACCATCAAGAAAGAAGAGCCTTGAGCAGAGTCCATCCTTTGGATCCAGGGTCCCAGTACTGAATCTTCTAGAACCAGGAAATACACAGAGAGAAAGTCTTCCCCTAGAATTGACACTCTGAATTTGAACTTCTAGCCTTCTAAACCGTGAGAGAATAAATTTCTATTTGAAGCCATCCACTTGTGTTTTTTCTGTGATAGCAGCAACAGAAGGCTAAGACAGAATTTGGTACCAGAAAACTGGGGTGCTGCTCTAACAGATACCTAAAAATGTGGAAGTGCCATTGAAGACACTACTATGAATATTCCAGCACTGGTCTCTGTGTGCACAGATGCTGTCACATCTCCTGTGCAAATCAACAGGAGTGGATTTGCTGTTTGTTGTTAAGTGCTGTTGAGTGGTCTCTGACTCATAATGACCCTATGCACAGCAGAATGAAACACTGCCCAGTCCTGCACCAGCTCCATGATCCTTGCTATACTTGAGCCCATCGCCACTGCCACCATGTCCATCCATCTCATTGAGGGCCTTCTTCTCTTTCGTCGACCCTCCACCTTACCAAGCATGACATCCTTCTCCAGGGAATGGTCCCTTCTGACAACATGACCAAAGTATGTGAGACAAGGCTGGCCATTCTCGCCTCCAAGTAGCATTTGGTGCTCTTCCTCTAGGACAGACCTGTTAGTTCTTTTAGCCATCCATGGTACTTAAAGCATTCTTCGCCAACACCACAGCTCAAAAGCATCAATTATTCAGTCTTCCTTATTCATTGTCCAGCTCTCACATGCATATGAGGTGACTGAAAATACCATAGCTTGTGTCAGGCTCACCTTAGTCCTCAAGGAGACATCTTTGCTCCTCAGCACTTGAAAGAGGTCCTTTGTAGCCAATTTGCCCAGTGCTATATGTCATCTGATGTCCTGACTGCTGCTTCCATTGGCATTGATTGTAGAACAAAGCAATGTGAAGTTTTTGACAATTTCAATCTTTTCTCCATTTATCATGATGCTGCTTATAGGTTCATTTGTGAGGATTTTTGTTTTCTTTATATTGAGATGTAATCCATACTGCAGACTGTAGTCTTCAATCTTCATCAGTAAGTGCTTCAAGTCATCCTCACTTTCAGCAAGCAAAGTTGTGTCATCAGCTTATCACAGGTTGTTAATTATTCTCCCTCCAATCTTGATGCCATGTTCTTCTTCATATAGTCCAGCTTCTTGGATTGTTTGCTCAGCATACAGATTGAATAAGTATGGTGAATAAGACTCACTCCCTTCTTGATTTTAAACCATGCAGTGTTCCCTTTTTCTGTTCAAATGCTTTTGCATAGTCACTAAAACACAAATAAACAACTTTCTGGTATTCTTTGCTTTCAGCAAAGATCCATCTCACATCAGCAATGATATCCCTTGTTCCACATCCTCTTCTGAATCCAGCTTGCATTTCTGGTTGACTGGGGAAATAATATGCCAAATATATGTTTAACTTGATAAGACACCACCACGTTAGTTTCCAGAAAGGCCCAGGCCATTTACAATCACTCCAGCAATACACAAGAGTTCAAATTGCTCCACATTCTCACCAACATTTGGTGTTGTCAGTCTTTGATCTGATCCATTCTTGTCAGTGTTTAGTGATATCTCATTGTGGTTTTAATTTTCACTTCCCTAAAGACTAATGATGTTGAGCATCTTTTCAAGTGCTTATTGACCATTTGTATATCTTTTAGTGAAGTGTCTGTTCAAATCTTTTGCCCATCTTTTAAATTGGGTTGTTTGTCTTATTATTAATCTGTCAAAATTTAAATATTGATCTACGTGGGATACAAGTGCTTCATCAGCTATATATTTTGCAAATATATTCTTTGAGTCTTTGGCTTATCTTTTCATTTTCTTTGTAAGCTTCTTTTGTGAAGTAAAAATTTTAAATTTTTATAAACTCAAAATAAATAAATAAATAAAAATGTGGAAGTAGTTTTGGAATTGGGTAGTGAGTAGAGGCTGGAAGAGTTTAAAAATGCCTAACAGGTAAAACATAGATTGCTTTGAAAAGGTTGTTGGTGGAATTATAGATGTTAAAGGCAATTCTGGTGAGGGCTTTAAAAGAAATGAGAAGAGCTGTAACACTGGAGGTGGCACAGATGGTATGAAACAGTGGTAGAGAGATGGCAGCAGCAAAATCAGGAGACCGGCATGAGATGGTACAGGAACTGACCTATGGAGCAACAGTCTTCCAGGCAGAGTGGGGTGCTTCTAGGCACTTGTTGCCAGAGTTAGGCTTGCCCTAGCAAGAGAGCTGAGTGCCTTCAGGCCAAGGCTTACTGGCAGAGTAGGGTGTCCCCAGGCATTTATCAGTGGATCATTACATAATTACAATTACATCATTACGTAACTGCCACCTCACATTATTATATAACTGCCAAACCACTGAGAATCATGGCCTATCTGAGTTGACACATAATTTGGGGAGAGACAGTTCAATTCATGATAGTCCACCCTTTGGTATCAAAGTAGAGCTAAAGAGCTTTGTAAAACATGTCTGAGCAGAGCAGAGATGAGCTGGCCTCTTTGAGAGACCAAGTAACCAGGAAGCAGAAGCTGCAGAGACAAGGAACACAGGAAGCAGAGCTCCTTGGTCTCAAAGGTAGGGCATGACTTCTGGGGTCTTAAAGTTTGGAGCTACAGCCTCCTAGGTTTCAGAGTCAGATCTTCACCAACTCAGTTCCCGACTGTAGGGCTGCTATTCATGAGTGCCAGAGGGATGTAGCCAGAATGCCTAAAGCTGAAGGGGCAGGGCTTCCATGCCCAAAGGGCAGAAGAATGGGGTGTACCAAGGATGAGAGGGTGGAGCCACTCAGTTGGACTAAGAATGGGGCCCAAAGGTGAGAGAGCAGAGTTGCCATTCCAGTAGGCCTGAAAGGCAGAGCTGAAGCCTCCACTTAGAGTCCAGACAGCATGGCCAACACCCAGAGTCTGGAAGGCAAACGCATTGTCTAGATGGTCTCAGAGAACAGAGGATTATTTTAAAGCCTGAGAGCTAATGTAAATTTGTTCTGCTGGGTTTTTGCCTTGCTTTGTCCTGTTATCCCTTCTTTCCCTCCAATTTCTCCATTTGTGATGGAAGTGTCTCCCTTGTGCCTGTTCCACCACTATACTTTGGAAGCATATAACTTGTATTTCAGATTCACAGATGAAGATGAATTTTGCCCCAAGATGGAATTTGGACTTGGAGTTGATTTAAGACTTTCGGGAAGATATGGTGGGGTGAAAATGTTTTGCATGTGGCAAGGATAAGAAGTTTTAGGAGCCAAAGGGTGGAATATCAGATGTTGAATTGTGTCCCCCCAAAATATGTGTCAACTCAGCTAGGCCGTGATTCTCAGTGGTTTGGCAGTTATGTAATAATGTAAGGTGGCTGTTATGTAATGATGTAATCAGCCGTCATCTGATGTAAGGGGCTTGGGGGGAAGGGATGCAACACCTCTAATCAGGTCACAGCTCTGATCTGATGTAAGGGGAATTTCCCTGAGGTGTGGCCTGCATCACTTTTATCTTACAAGAGATAAGAGGAGAGAACTGAGAAGGGAGAGAGAGGACCTACTATTACCAAAAGAGAAAAGCCTGGACCAGAGTGCATTCTTTGGGTCCAAGGTCCTTTGCTAGGAACCTCCTAGAACCAGGAGACACAGAGACAGAAAGCTTTCGCCTAGATTAGGCACTCTGGATTCAGACTTATAAATTTTGAGACAGTATTTCTGTTTGTTAAAGCCATCCAGTTACAGTATTTCTGTTACAGCAGCACTAGATAACTAAGACAGCTATGCAACAAATGACCACCACTTTAGCAGCAAAGATTAACACATACTGATTACTTCACATTTTTTTGTGGGTCTGGAGTCCATGCACAGCTTAGGACCCAAACATGGGTCCTCTGCCTCAGGTCTTTCATAAGGCTGCAATCCAGGTGTTGGCCAGGGCTGTGGTCTCACCTGAAGGATTGACTGTGGGGGAACCCATATCCAAGCCCATGTGGTTGTTGGCAGGATTCAATTCATTTGAGGCTGTTACCCTGAGAGCCTCAGTTCCTTGGTGGCTGTTAGCCAGAGACTGCCCTCAGATCCTTGCCAAATGGGCCTCTCCAACATGATGGCTAGCTTCATCAAAGCATCCAAGCAAAGAAAGCAATAGAAAGTCAGCAAGCAAGATGGGAGTCATAATCTTATGTGTGTGTGTATATGTATATGTATATCTTGTTGTTATATGCCATCAAGTCGGACCTGACTCATAGCGACCCCTCCTTGGGTTTCCGAGGCAGTATCACTGCAGAAGTAGATTGCCTCAATTTCCTTCTGAGGAGTGGCTGGTGGGTTTGAACCACCAGCCTTCTGGTTAGTAGTCAAGTGCCTTAGGCAGTATGCTACCAGAGCTCCCATATATGTATGTGTGTGTATATATATATATATATATTTATATTTATATTTATATGGAGAGAGAGAGAAAGAGAAATTTATCTCAAGGAAATGGCTGACATAGTTGTAGAGGCTGGCAAGTCCCAGGTATGTAGGTCAAACATCAAGCTGGGGCTTCTAACTCATACAGCTGCAGGGGCTGTTGAACCCAAGATTGGCAGGTGATATAGCAGGCTGTTGGCTTTGGAGACAGACAAATCTAAGATCAGCAGATAAAATGGCAGATTGTTGGCTTACAGGCTATGAAGGCAACAATTCCCAGATTGGCAGGCAATATGGCAGCCCACTGGTTCAAGTCCAGGAACCAGAGATGATGATGAGCCAGACGCAGGATCCAGACCCAGCAGAAAGCCAGAGACCTTTCCCAAAGCTTTCCAGTATATACTGGAAATAGACCAAACCCCAAAGGAAACTTCCTTTCAACTGATTGATTGCTCATAGCAGATCTCATTATGGAGATGACTACATTATGTCAGATCTCATCACAGGGAATAACTACATCATAACTGCTAAACCACTTAGAATCATGATCCAGACAAGTTGACACACAACCTTATTGGATGCTGGTTTAGAGCATATACAGCCTCCTGGAGAATGTTGCCTCAACCTGGACAGGTATTGCCACTTAGCTGGTGCCATAATTTTATCTTTAGGAGGCCATTCCATCACTTTATCAAACCAGCTGCTTCAGGATGATGGAGAACATGGTAAGACCAGTGAATTCCATGAGCATAGGCCCATTGCCATACTTCAACTGCTGTGAAGTGAGTCCCTTGATCTGAGGCATTGCTGTGTGGGATACACCGTGATGGTTCATAAGTCCATGAATGGTAGTTTTGGCAGAAGTACTGCATACAAGTAAGGCAAATCCTTACCCAGACTAAGTGTCTTTTCCAGTAAGAACAAAACAGTGCCCTTTCCATGATGGAAGTGGTCTGATATAATCATCCTGCCACCTGCCTCCTGATCACCCCAAGGAATGGTTCCATATCGTAGACTCAGTGTTGGTCCCTGCTGCTGGCAGATTGAGCACTCAGCAGTGGCTATAGCCAAGTCAGACTTGGTGAGTGGAAGTCCAGTTTATTGAGTCTATGCATAACCTCCATCCTTGCCGCTATGGCCACTTTGTTCATAAGCCCATTGGGCAATAACAGGAATGGCTGGGGAAAGAGGATGAATGGTTTCCACAGAATATGTCATGCTATTCACTTGACTGTTAAAATCCTCCTGTGCCTGTTACTCTTTGGTGAGACACAAATATCTTCACTTCTTTGGCCCATTTGGAGAAGTCTATCCACATCCCTCTTCCCCATACCTCTTTGTCACCAACTTTCCAATCATACTCCTTCCAAATCCCTGACCATCCAACCAAATCATTGACCACAGTCCATGAATCAGTATACAATCATGCATTTCCCCATTTCTCCTTCCAAGCAACATGAACAACCAAGGATATTGCTTAAAGTTATGCTCATTGGGAAGATTTCCCTTCACTACTGTCTTTCAGTGAGGTCCCAGAAAGAGTCTGCAGTGCTATTGCTCTCAACTTTTGAGTGAGGCCTGCATATCATGCAGAACCATCTGTAAGCCAGGCATGAGTTTTTCTTCCCCAGTCAACCAATCATAAAGAACTCTTCATGAGGCCATAGGTGCAGACTGGGAGAGAAAAGACAATGCGACTGGAGTGGAGACCACAGGCATTTGGGCCACTTCCTCATGCAACTTACTTGTGTTTTCAGGTCCTGGTTGAGCTTGATCTCTTATATACTACTTCCATTTAACTTTATTACTCTGGGGGTCTGACAGGCCAGTTCATGATGTGACACCCAGTTCACAATGGGCAGCTCAGTCTGCATGGTACATCTTGGCCCATGGTTAGGCTGAACAGCTAATTAAGTCTCTACTAAGTCTTAGTGACAAGCCAAAAACTGTTTCTCAAAAGGAGAGTAGTTATCTGCAGAGGATGTCAGCGCTTTGCTCCAAAATCCTAAGGGTCTGCACTGTGATTCACCAATATGGACCTGCCAAAGACTCCAAACAGTATCTCTATCTGCCATTGTCACTTCAAGCACCATTGGATCAGCTGGGTCATATGGCCCAAGTGGCAGAATGACTTGAAAAGCAGCTTGACCCTGTTGCAGAGCCTTCTCTTGTTCTGGGCCCTACCAAACTAGCAGCTTTTTGAGTCACTTGATAAATAAGCCAGAGTAGCACATACAGATGAGAGCATGTTGCCTCCCAAATCTAAAGAAGCCCATCAGGCATTGTGCTTTCTTTTTTATTTGTGGGAGGGGCCAGATGCAATAACTTACTCTTCACTTTAGTAGAAATATCTCGACACGGGTGGATGGCTTTAACAAACAGGAGTTATTCTCTTACAACTATGGAAGCCAGAAGTCTGAGTTCAAGATGCCAAGCTCTAGGGGCTGGGTAAAAGCCCCTTCACCTTGGGCTTCAGCTCTGCCTCTTGCTCTTGCTGGAAGCTTTCTTCACTCAGTCAGCTGCTGGCTGCTGAGGCTGACAAACCCAAGGTCAACAAATAAAAAGCACAGTCCCAATATTACCAAACCACATGGCAGACCATTGATTCAAGTCTATTAACAATCCCAAAATCAGCAGACAACATGACAGGCTGCTGAACAAAGACTTGGCTACATGCAGGATTCAAGGGTGCCAAAACCTAGAGACCTTCCTCAAAGTTGCTTCTTATATACTGAAAGCAGACCATATCCCTAAAGCAGCCACTCCGCTGCTCCAGTAGATTCCACCATGGAGTTAATTATCAATCTCACTGTGGGAAAGAATTACATCCAGCTGCCTAGCCACTCACAACCAGGCCCAGCCAAGTTGACACACAACCTTAACTACCACAATGCCCCACACCATTGGGCCCTAGAAATTTCATTGCAGAGGAAAGTACCTTAATTTTTGTTGGTTAATTTCCCAGCCTGTAGCATGCAAAGGTCTTACCAATAAGTCTAGAGTCATTGATACTTCTTCTTTACTATCTCAGATCAGCATAATGTCATCAATGTAATGGACCAGTGTGATATTTTATGGAAGGGAAAGGTGATCAAGTTCCCTGCAGATTAAATTATGATATACTGCTAGAGAGTTGTTACACCCCTGAGGAAGGACAGTGAAAGTGTACTACTGGCCTTGCCAGCTGAAGACAAGCTGCTGCTGCTGCTGTTACAATATCAGAACTGAGAAAAAGTCATTGGCCAGATTAATAGCTGCATAGCAGGTACCAGGAGATGTATTAATTTGCTCAAGCAATGAAACAACATCTGGAACAGCAGCTGCAATTGGAATCACCACCTGGCTAAGTTTATGGTAATCTACTTTCATTCTCTAAGATCCATCCATATTTTGCACAGGCCAAATAGGTGAGTTCAATGGGGATGTGGTGGTAATCACCATCCCTGCATCTTTTAAGTCCTTCATGGCAGCACTAATCTCTGCAATCCCTCCAGGAATGCAGTATTGCTTTTGGTTTACTATTTTCCTAGGTAAGAACAGTTCTAAAGGCTTCTACTTGGGTTTTCCTACCATAATAGCCCTATACCACATGTCAGGGATCCAATGTGGTAGTTCTACCAGTTGTTGAGTATGTCTATTCCAATTATGCATTCTGAAACTGGAGAAATCACTACAGGATGAGTTTAGGGACCCACTGGATCCACTGTGAGACAGACCTGAGCTAAGACTTCATCAATAGTTTGACCTCCATACACCCCTATTCAAACCAGTGGGCCACAGTGATGTTTTGAGTCTCCTGAAATTAGTGTCATTCAGAGTCAGTATCCAGTAATCCCTGAAAAGTCTGATTATTTCCTTTTCCCTAGTGAGCAAAAAGGCCATAGATAAAAAGCCATATATCCCTTTGGGGAAAGCTGAGAGAAAAATAAATTTTTGTCAGTCTTTCCCTAAGGGAAAAGTGGAGTCTTTCCTCAAGGGGAGCCAGCCTCCCCTTCATTTAAGGGGTTGTGGGTCTGTAAATTGGCTCACTCCTGGGAATTGGTTGAGAGGCCATGACTTTGTGTTCTGGCAATTTAAGTTAGACTGCTGTTCACTTGAGCTAGAATTATTCTGCTTGTACACATCAAGTAAATATTTAGAGATTTCTCATCTATTTCACTAATAGGGACACCAAGCCTAAGTAACCAAAGCTATAAATCCATATGAGTCAAATTATTATTACTGCTTTGACTCTGCTGTCCATTAGGGTAACCAAATCCACTTTGTCTATATTGATTTAGTTTTGCCACTTGGCCCCTACCACCATGAGGTACAATCAGCCCCATTGTGGTTAGGTGTCTTAATTCAGTTAGGGTTGTTCTGACTGTGAAATCTGGCTTACATAAAATAGCAATCACAGCAGTCTTCAAGGATGCTGGGGGCTCCCTTCATAAATTTGTTTCTCATCATTGTGGTTCAAAAATATGTCCTCTGGTCTCTTCATGTGTGGGTCTATTGATTTAATCTGATAAATCCATTCTAACATGCCAGTTTTCCTAAGCCTTTGGATATCTTCTTCTACATTATGCCAAAGCAGTCCTGGTACTTCAGCTTGATTTAGTGTAGGCCACCGCATAATCCATGCTTCAGTAAAACAACCAAATAAGCTATTAGATCCTTTCTTAACCTCTTGAGCTGAAACATTGAATGAACAATCTGTGCTTGGTGGGTCCAAATCAATAAACTAAGACTGATCCAATGTTATGTTTCTTGCACCATTATCTCACACCCTTAACAGCCATTTACACACATATTCTCCAGGTTTCTGTTTGTACATATTAGAAAAATCAAGCAGTTCTTTTGGAGTGTAGCATACCTCTTCCTGGTACCCCTTCCTGGAACACTTTGTGTGCTTCACCTTTTAGGGTTCACTGGGACTTAAGTATAGTTATAGGTTGTTGTTGTTGTGTTGTTATGTGCCGTCGAGTCAGACCCAACTCATAGCGACCCCTCCTTGGGTTATTGAGGCAGTATCACTATGGAAGTAGATTGCCCAACCTTTCATCCGAAGAGTGGCTCGTGGGTTTGAACCGCCAGCCTTCTGGTTAGTAGTCAAGTGCCTTAGGCACTATGCTACCAGAGCTCCTTAGTTATAGGTTAGAAGCAACAATGGGTGGGTCCTGGGACCATTCAGCAATGTCTTGTAAGGCATCTACCTCAGGCAATGCCCCAGACTCCATCCCAAAATGATATCTCAGACAATGACTTAGCAGGTCCAGCTGGGTTAGTCTCATAAAATGTGGGTAAGAGGGATGTTTCTGCTGGCAGGTGTGATTCAATGGAATTTAGGGGCACAGTGTCCCCAGCTTCCTGATTATCTGCCCATATGTCACCATCCCAAGTTTCAGGGTCCCATTTCTTCCCAATCAATGCCCTCTAAGTTCAGACACCAGTCAAGGTTGGCGATTCAATTTGGCTTTATAATTCAGCCACTCTTATGCTAAGGAAGTTTGGTGGTGCAGTGGTTAAGGGATTCATCTGTGTGGTAGTTAAGGTTATGTGTCAAATTGGCTGGGCCTGGTTTTGAGTGGCTGGGCAGCTGGATGTAGTTATTATTCCCCATGATGAGACTGGTAATCAACTCCATGGTGGAATCTGCTGTGAGCAGCTGAATAGCTGCCTCAGGGATTTGGTCTGCTTCCAGGATTTAAGAAGACATTTTGAGAATTTTTGGCACACTTGGACTCTGCATGTAGTCGAGTCTTCATTTCAGCAGGCTGCCATGTTGTCTACCGATCTTGGGACTGTTTCTGGACTTGAGCTAGTGGCCTGCCATATTGCTTGATAATCTTGGGACTGTGCCATTTTACTTGTCAACCTTGGGTTTGTCAGCCTCAGCAACCAGCAGCTGCCTGAGTTAAGAGATACCTCCAGCTCCAGTGGGCCAGGAGCAAGAGGCAGAGCTGAAACACAAGGCTGAGAGGCCTTCACCCCGCCCCTAGAGCTGGCATTTTGAACTCAGACTTGTAACCTCCTAAACTGGAAAAGAGTAAATCCTTGTTTGTTAAAGCCTACATTTGTGGTATGTCTGTTATAGCAATACTAGGTAACCAACACTCTGTTAACCAAAAGGTCAGTGGCTCAAACTCACCAGCTGCTCCTTGGGAGAAAGGTGAAACCTGCTTCTGTTAAAAGTTGACAGCCTTGTAAACCCTATGGGTCACTATGAGTTGGAATTAACTCGATGGCAGTGGGTTTAGATTTATGATAATGCTCTGGGTTTGATTTTCAGCAATATCAGCCCTATTGCTACAAGAAACAAGGCTTTCTTTCAGGGCACAAATGGAGACATTTTATGAAGCACTTCAGCTGTGACTCTGAAGCCCTGAATGTATATAGGATCAACCAGCTTCCTTACACTTCTCATTTTGACAAAATTGCAGAAAAGTATCAAACGTGTCACCTAGAGCCTCACTTCTCACCAATACTTGATATATTGGTGGTGCTGTTTCATGTAGTAATATTGCCACCTCATGCCATGGATCAGCAGCACCCTCTTTACTAATGGAGGCGGAGTCATCACTGTCTTCAAGACTGATCAAACTTGGGAACTAATTTAGAAAGCTAATTTAGAAAAATTTAGAACCACTCTTAGTAGCAAATATCTTAGGCTGGGTTCTCTGGAGAAGCAAAACCAGTGAAGCTTATACACACAAACACACACACACACACACACACACACTCATATGTATAGAGATTTATCTCAAGAAAATGGCCCACATAGTTGTA